TACTACTATTTGCGTCGTTCACGTTCCTCAGTATTTGAACAACCACTTTATATCGTCCAATCAAATTGATTATTTAAATAGAGTTGTGCGTTTTCAAGTATTCCACTCTCATGTATTAACTAGATTAACAGATGTTGTCAACGTTAAACGGAAATATTGGTCTAACATTGAAGTATACAAATGCTAGTAAATTCTGAATTTGTGAATCATCTATATCGTATCGGTGCTACGTGGAATTTCGCATTTAGGCGACAAGAGTCGTAGCTCAGTTGTTCACCGTACGTTTTTCGGAGAATTCGAAATTAGGAATATGTGGTCACGTGTTCGTTTCTTTCATATTTTATGCGCATAACAGACAGTTAGTTGTTCCATGCTTTGTAATGAGTGTATGCCTTCCGAACAGAGCACAGCTCTTGGTATATATGATTGCCTAAAAGCTTATTAGAAATAGCTATATAGGTCAGCGTGACGTTTGTCTTCTATACGGACAGAACTGATATTGACAGAAAAATGCATTATATGCAAAATAAATGCACTGACGGTGACAAGCTTTTGAACTTCAAAAAGATGCATGTCTATGGACTGAATTGAGCATCACATGTTAGCATCAACAACTTTTCATCTCCAACTGTATTGCAAATCGAACAATACTAAATATGCTAAACAAAGTGCAATCATGAAACGCACACAGTTAAATAACTTACATTATGAGCTATTTGCACTTATCTCACAGCTTATTTCAAGTGTATGTGAAAAGTGCGTCGAGTACTGCAACTGGTTGCACATCGGGAATAATGATGTCCACTGTTCTATTCTATATCGCGGAAACAAAAGTAAAAATACAATTAATCTCCTTCAGGGAAACTTTTTCCTTGTGAATTTTAGTTGAAAGGTGATAAACATCGTATGATGCACCGGGACGAACAACTCCTTTGATTTCCCAAGTTCAAATTGCACTGGCCAACTTTGCAAAGTCACTAGAATCACGATAAAAGGACAATGAATTAGCCACCACATTATATCAGAATTCAGTTTTCGAACCATCTCGTTTGGCAACACAGACACGAGCACCGATTGACTGTAAGTCCAACTCCCACGGCATAAGTCACGTTCACTGCTTTGGGCCCGTAAATTTGTAAGGCCTGGTCTAAATACCGTAGTCTGGTCTGTTTTTCACCATTTGGAGATTCTAATATTCACTTGCTACATCAATTGTTAAAGCTCTACAAGCGAACAGTAGAGGACAGCAAAATTTTAAATCTGATTGTGAATGACCGCGTTAAGTCAGCTTGCTGCTGCTTTGTCCAGATCTTTGAGCGGTAAGTTGCGTAATCATAATCTGAAGTGGTTGCAGTTTGTGAAGTGACGCTAATCAAAACATAGAGTCTGTTTTCTTACCATCGTAATAAATACATCATGATTACTCCTCGCGTTCTACAGAAATGAGACTCATTCAATACACCTTTTTTTCAAAATGTGTGGATTCGGTTCCATAAATCGATGCTTCACTTAAGATGCCAGGGAAAATAAACAGTAGGTCTGCATTTGACAAAGTATTGAAAATTGGTTCTTGTAGCTAGGGTAAACTGAATTCCATTTCGCCTGTTCGCCGAGCTTGGCAATTTGTTTGGATGCGTGAACACCAAGCGGCAGTCAAGAGACATGAACCACTATCTTTGATTTCTCTCCACGAAGATCAAGAAGGACATCAGTTTGACTTCGATTCAGTGAAAACTATCGACCAAGCCCGGTCAAAACACGCCACGGAATTTCTCGAAGCTTGGCACTCCTCAACAGGCACATTGAACTGGATCAGGTGTACACGTCAATGCAACTCAAGGATCAAATGATGCAACAAAAACGGTCACGGCATGACCTGAGAACGGACCGAAACCGCAATCAGGACGGATGGACAATCCCGCCCCCACGCACCAGTTTATCGGCGAACCCAGTCGAACACAATGAGAACAAGGGACAGCAATGGTCGGAGAAGGACACATATAAACGGACGGACACAAGCAGAAGACTGCCACTTCACAAGCACTCATGATGTCACCTCTGTTGGTGATGAAACGTTTGCAAACATATTGTCAAGCTCGGCGAACAGGCGAAATGGAAAGGCCTGCATTTAAACTTGTGTTATTTCTGAATCCATGAATCACAGTGGGCTTCCAAATTTTGAAATCATGTGAGAGTCAAATTCTGGGTTTTACCTTAAAAAGTTTCAACGAGAAACACTGTTTGAGATAAATGAATAACACTTAGGCATTAAAAAGCTGTTTCGATCTGTTTGGCTCTCATCAGAAGTGCGAATACATTTATCTAACTGGGGATCGAACGAGGGACCTCACAGGCAGAACGCAAGCATGCTATCAACTCGGCACCCGGGCAGCTGATCAGATCGCTTTTCATTTTCCACTTACAAGATATAGACCAACCCATTTTGTGAGCTTGCTGTGAGCCAAAGACCTCGCTTATCTCAACACAAGCACATGAAACCAGTAGTCATGTTGTAAATGTTTCCAACCGAGTCATAACCCTGGAGGCTAGTGATCAGATGAGGATGTCTGTTCCCTGCAACAAGCTCGCAAAGATGGGTTGGGCTATACCTTGTAAATGGAAAATGAAAAGCGATTTGATCAGCTGGCCGGTGGTCGAGTGGGTAGCATACTTGCGTTCTACCTGTGAAGTCCTTTGTTTGATCCCCAGTTGGGTCGATGGATTTGCACTGCTGATGAGAGCCAACTAGATCGAAACAGCTGTTTAGTGCTTCGCAGCTTTCTCAGTTCTCGCTTCACTTGCTATATACACGAGTTCACCTGTGAAATTATGTATATGTTTGAAAAAACTGAGAAATACAATTCGTTTAATTTTACTTGAGACGCATTTACCTATCAATAACAGCATTTATGTGAGCCCTAACCGGGCCTTTAATTTGATATTTTTATTCCGACTATTTTGAGTAAGAAGTGTAAGAAGTTCTATGTTTGCGTGATGGTATCTCATGCCCTACGTCATCTCTCAAGTGGTTCTGCAGTTTTCAACTTGGTCATCAAATCCCATTCCGCTGATTGGCCATAATGTACAAAATGTGTGATTGAAACTCTCCATCTAACTGGGCGTGACCTGAGTACATTCACACAAGAAAGTGTTAACCAATTGGGGCCACCGGATAATGATTATGCAGTTCTGACCAAAACCGTGCAACACCACAAATTGCATCTTATCACTGCACTGGAAATCTCGCGTTTTACCTTTTTCTCCATTACTCTACACCACACCACATTCCTACGATAAAATCCACGTATATAGTTACTTCTAGCCGAGTACCCTGGGAATAAAGATTTCTGGAATCCAAGAACTTCTTTGGACGTTGGGGAAAAATGTAAAAATATATTTAGAAAAAAAGACGTATAGGCATGACACAAATAGTGCATTTAATTATCTGAAAACTTTGTGGACCGTACATTCATCTAGAACGTTTGAACTCATCTATTTGATCCACAGTCCTGCAATTTGGTAGATTAAACCCATAAAATCACGAAATTCACAATTGTACCATATATCTAGTTCTATTGTACCAGCAAGCTACTTGTTAAATCTGTTTTACCCGTTCCCGAACATTCCCAGTCTCTGTCGTTCACGATCGCTTATCCACCGCATTCATTGACCACACTTGGATCCGCAGTGGCTATCTTCACATAAGCATTATCTGTACGCCCACGTATTGACCACATTGTTCGATTATTTTTCTATCTGCATCTCACTTCCCTCATGTCGGCACCCACCGCCAGTTCAAGTTTGTAATGCGACCTTTCAATTGTCTCTAAACAAGAAAACACACGCGCCTAACTTGGACCTTTGATTGCTACTCGGTCAAATGAGAGGTGTCCATCGAATCACAGACTAGACCGCGTGAACCTTTGAATTTGGATTAAGCTTCGTTTCTCGTCACGGAGTTGTGACCCCCTTGTATGGCTATTCCGTCTTTGTTTCCGATCCCCTATCGCGTCGCACATTTGAACGTTCGGTCAATCCCGCTTGGGAACGCTACAAATTGAGTATCGGTTTAATTGGATAACCAAGACTTGTTTAATCCGTCTCCTGAGGCTTGCGCGTAACTCAGCTTGGTTACTAATCCCGACATATCTAACACTACTGATAACTCAGCAAATAGTCGGCATATATCAGGTCTACCGGCAAATTCTGTCCGTTTCTATCACAAGTTTCTAATAAAATTAGACACAAAAGTACCCCTGGCTACTGATAAAGTTCAATTACGCATTTACGCATTTACGTATTTTAAAAGAATTTCAACAAGGAAGAAATGATACAGAAGCAATGAGAAATTTCTTGAAGGTGTTTGGTGAAGGCAGAGTTTTTGATGTGGCATGCAGAAGATGGTTCGAAAACTTCGATGAAGGTGAGTTTGGCATTTCTGATAAGCCAAGCTCTGGGCAACCATCTTCGATCGACGAGGATGTTGTTAGAATTATGACAGAGCATGATTCTTTTCTGACAACATCGGAGATAGCAGAAAGAATTAATTCAGCTCAACAAACCATTTTATACCATATTCGGGAGATACGATTTATGTGGAAATATTCCAGATGGTTGCCACATAAATTACGTCGGAAGAATTTAGATGATCGAGTCGTCAAACTGTTTCGAAAGAAAACCGAGCCCTTTTGAACCGGATGATAACTGGGGATGAGAAGTGGATTACCTACGAACACACCGTCAGGGAAATGGCACATTGTGAACCCGGAAAACCTAGCCCTTCAACCTCTAAACCAAATTGGACTCTGAATAGGAGGACGTTGCGTTTATCTTGGGACATTCGAGGACGGATAGGTTATGGGCTTTTAACACCAAACGAAAAGCTCATTTCGTAGAAGTATTGCCAGCAACTGGATAGTTTAAAACAGCAGCCCAAGAAAAGAGGCCGGCAATGCTCAATAGGAAAAACATTATACTTCATCATGATGATGCCAGACCACTTACTGCTTTGCGGACCCGTTCAAAACTTGCAGAAATTCTGTTGCATTCACCATTTTGCCCGAAGTGAGCACCTTCCGACTATCACTTGCTGTTTTACTAACAAACTTTTTAAAGGGCTAAAAATTAAAAACAAATGAAGAGGATATCAAAAAAGCGCTGGTTTAGTTTTCACATCGAAAGATAAAACATTTCCGAAAATGGAATAAACAAATCGCTGACAAGAAATCACCCGTAATAAAGGCAATTATATATTTCAATAAAGTTCATTGACAGTGAGACAAATTTGTGTTTTATTTTATTACAAAACAAAAAGAACTCTCCAGCAGACCTGATTTTCAGTCAAAATTTTATTTACAGTGCTGATCACGATATATTCTCAGTCCAAATTACGCTGACGTAATCTTCCTGAGGCAGAAACGCTTTTGCAATCTCATTTTACTAAGCCGTTGGTAACTCAGGTATGATATTTCTATGCAAACGAAAATTTCTTTGATAGACCGAACCCATTGCAATAATACTCGAACTCATCCTCGAATATCATTAAATGTTGGCATAGAGATACAAAATTTGTTCTGCAATAGCCAATCAATTGACTGTACTGGTTGGATCCCTGTGATGGAGTCACCACATGGTTCAGGTGACGCGAAAGGGTTTGTTTAATTATCTCAGTGGTACATTTCATGTTATGAGGTCATCGTGAGGTTAGACAATTCTAGCAGTGCACTCAGCTATACACCAGATATTGTTCCACTCGGTGTGTGCCGTACAAGCGGTCTCGAGTCTGGAAACAAGTTCACTCATTTCATTTTATTGTGACATGTATAAGTGCTGGAATATATATGTGAATGTCAGTATGAAAATAGCACCCATCTTGCCAGACACGAGTTGTCATAAGGTGACAAACAATACAGGTGTTATCCAAAGAGTTTCACCATTTGATAAAGTGGTCACAGCACCGTTTGAGCACTCAAAACGTTAGTGCAAGAAACTGGACTAATAGAATTGGTCAAATCCTCAGTTCAAAGAAATAGCCTGAACCGAAAAATAGAATTTGTATCCGCTGAGTTGCACATTTAAGGTTAATGATTCATACGATCACGTTTTCTCACGTTGATTTTTTGCTTATTTCCTAAATCTGATGTAGGCGGTGGTGGCCTGGTGGTAACCTCACCAAATTATCACGCCAGGGATGTGTGTTCGAATCCCACCACCACCGCCTGACTTTCCCTTTGTGTGTTGAATGGCAGCCCTCTGATTAGCCGCTTCCCCCTACCTGAAAATTTGTTGTACCTTTGTATATTCAATAAAAGAAAGTAAAGTGAAAAAGAAAAAAGAAAGGAATTCGACAGGGCTGGTTGATCGAAAAGGGAGTATTTTGGAAAATCGACGAATGTAAGATCAAGTGTATTAAGACTGAGAAGGGGGATGAGATATCGTCTTTTGCACTCCCAGATAGCATGAAANTTCTTCTGACAACGTCTCTCATATTCACTATAACTTCTGTCCAGTAGAACTGCAGATATATGAATTCGTATTTTAGGTTTTCATTGAATAACCTTATAAACACACCGACAAACTGCAAGCTACTGATAAAACCAAAGGATCAAGAAAGTTTTCTTTTTATATGCAACAATGAAAAAAATTAGAAATCTTTGATGTGAAGAGAATTCACACAGCCTGTTTAATCGGAGTATGGATGGTGAGATAATCACACGTGATTTGTGCATTTCTATTGTGCACTGTGTTGAGATTTGTATCACTGTGAAGACCATGTTCCTTAGCAGTTGCGAAAGTGAACATATCCGGCGGACTGCTTAAATAAGGAGCACCTAATCCAGTTAACCTTGCACTTTCATTTGTTGTAACGTTTGCTGGGTCCGCACATGTTTCTTAAACAGCAAGTGATGTGTATGTTACACGTCAACAACTATGAATACTAAACCAGTCAATACTATCTGGTGATTTTTCTTTCTGGTCGAAATGCGACAAGTAAGACGGTTTTACGGGAACACAGTTTTCTCGAACAGGATAACGAATTGTCACTCTCCACTCTGTGTCCCCAAATGATCACAGAGTAACTATTCAGTCGGTGGAATCTGGCAATTTAACCGGTCACCTACTATCTCGCATCGAGTTTCTTGATACGAAGATGGCAAACCCAGAGTGCTGAAAGTCCAAATCGGGATCACCGGGAATAACGTGAACCAGTGACGCACAATTCAGATGAGCAAGCTGCTTGGGTATTTGATTTTCGTCCTGTTGTGTACCGCATTTGGAAATCACGATTTTCAATGTTCAGCAATGCTCAGATGTTGAGGTAAATTGAAGTTCACCTATTTTTACGCGTTGAGAACGCCAAACATTTCGTTCGCTTCCTTTCTGTAATGCAGTTGACAGACAAAGGATAATCACATTAGAGAGCGTGAACCAAAATGAATAAACTGGGAGTATTAGATCAGCACTAATTTTGTTTTAAACTGACTAGGGAGGTATTATAAAACGTTCATGTCCCTGTCAACATTTTGCCCGGGATACCTAGTTTATGCATTTGGGAGAAACGATAGTACTGAGTTGTTATTGAATGAATTTTGTCGAGTACAAAATAGCTAAAGCTTACATTCGTTCTCGTCTAGTTAGGGCTCACCATCAGGGCAGTACTGTTGTAATTGAGGTTTGATTTTCTCAAGAAGCTTGCAAATGTAGCGCTGTTCAGCGGTTAAGTAGGTATCATGCTCACCTTCTACGCAATGTTAAGTTCGGTATGGGGATTCTCACCGCGAACGAGACTCAATCAGGTTGAAGCAACTGAACAGTACTTTTAGGTACTTCGTTATCATGTTTGTTTTCAGCCGAGAACCAAATTGAGCGAGTCAATGAATGATACAAATCCTTAACCATAATCATGTAAAGTTTCCATTGCTGCAGTCAAACCTGGTGTATAAAAGACATCTTCTTGCGCAAATCATCAAGGCTCATAGTGGATCGCATATATCGTCCACTATATTAATTTTAGCTATGAACGTTGCATTCGTAAGATAAACCATTCATGCTTGCAATGTGCAACTAAGCAATGAATAGTTTGTGGCAATTTCATGGAGCCGCTTTGTTGTTACTTTCATTATGAGTCATTAAAAATTCAATAAGCATCCTTTCTATTGCAAAACATGAGACAAAATTATGGATCACTATGGAGACAGAAATGATTTTCCACCACTGTATTACCAGACACCAAACACTTGGATCTTGTGAAAAGCCATGGAATTATTAAAGGTAAACAAACAACAATCATCTAAGTGGAATATTGTTCTATGTCATACGTGGAGTGTGCTACCGGTGTAACCACCTTACTTACTTCACCCAGTCCAATAGTTCCACTGTCGACCGGCAGACATAAGAGCTGTTCCATCTCTACGCAAAGGAAATGCCGTTAGGTTTTTTGAAAAACGTGGATCTACTCAAAAATCGTTCTTTGTATGGTTACATTTATATCCCGTGAATTCATTGGCGATCTCACACTCAACTTGGTTAGTCGGTCGATGCGCGAATTTTAACCCTGAATTGGGCTATTTATCTTTTTGTTCGTATAGGAGTGGAGGCGACAGCTGTTTAAACACTTCTGCTTGTAGACTGTGCAAAACAAATCTTGTGTGTATGAATGTTGAGAATAATGGGACCCACGTCGGAGGAAATTCACAATTCACAAGAAGAGCCTCCGCAAACGCGATGATTCTGGCAATTTTAGTTGCTCGGAAGTCAGTTAAAAATATAACAGAGGTCTTAGTTTAGTTTTTCCTTCTCGGTTTTTGTGCTATTCTACTTCCACCGTTAACATAACTCCTATAAAATCGGGTAAACATAGCAGAAAGGCACTGCTCGATGATCCATTTGCTGGGGTTTTACGGTACCATATCTATATTTTGTACGTTTAACAGCTCACAGTATTAGATCCCTATAGGAATGTTTAAGTTAGCCACAAACATTCAAAACATTCCTATAAAGATCTAAAATTTACCGAGTTCTTTAAAGCAGTTAGCAACGTGATTTTATTCGTATCTAAGGCAAAGGAGACGAAATGTGAATATCTAGAACAATTATAGAGATTTTCCAAATTGGTTGGATTTCGTCATGAAGTATTAAACGATTAGGATCAACGGGGATCAGGCCTTCAGGCCTCACAGGTACAAAGCAATTAGAGAACTAGCTTTTCTTCTCGTATAATTGGTCAGTTTGGTTCACATTGTCTATGCAGGACACTGATAAATCTATATTTACACTTGTTTTGGATACTGTATTGTCTCGCTCATGTTAAGGTTGGTTTCCGGATGCATGAAAGTATTTGGACCTAACGTTTTTGTGTATGGGAGCAGTGGGGGGCATACTGCGAATTCATGAAAACTAGCTTCATCGGCCGAACGAAGGACATACCAATTAGATATTTGACGAGCACTCCCCATCAGATGAGATCGGGAAATACTGAAAGGCTATATATTACTGCCAAGATATCAAGTCCGCCTTATTTAATCTGATTATGAAGAAATTATTCATGTTTGGAAATCAATCTTTCGCTTTTCCTGACAACACAACTTTTGGCTCACATTTTGATCATTACTTATAAATATTGTTTTGCAACATGCAGACGAGGGTGAAGCAGTCAACGTAGTGAGGCCAGTGAAACAGGGGATGTTCTTCAGACCTGATTTGGGTAGCTAGGGAGCAACATTGTGTGCCGAGTTATGTTCCTTATGCTGTGACAACGGCATAACTTCTACTCTTCTTTGACCGATTTATGTAGGCAATGCAAATGTAAAAAATGTAAATGTCTTTTTATCTGCTTTTTCATTCACTGAATACACAAATGTACAGTCAACTTTCAATAAGGGGGCCACGGCCATACAAAGGCTGCCTGTGAAAATACAGATATAGGGAAGACAGGCGGTGGTGGAGCGGTTTGAACCCGGGACTCCCAGGCCACGATTTGGTGACCTAACCACTGGGCCAACACCGCCGCATAAAAACGCTGATGCAGTTCACTCCAATTTTAAAAAAGTCAAAGACTCGACCAGAATGAAACTGTTGCTCAGACTTTGGAACGCAATATACGGCATCATTGTGTGATAAAGGTTTTTGAACCATCATTCCTTTTATTCTGTTTTTGCAATCAACATATGAATGCATGTTTACACGTGCTCCATGCAATGAATATTCGTTTGTTTTCAAAATATCTTCGATCACCTGATGACTAGTTCGCACCGGTGATCGCCACGCTGAATAAATTTATCCTGCTTACAAACAATACCGTGTATTGTTTGAACAGTAGCGGTCACCAAACTACTCGCTTCAATGTAAAGTAAACACGTGATATCATGAATTCCATATCCGAAAACAGATATATTTATAACACCGGAAGTGTGTTCTTCTCAGACCAACAGATTTTTTGTCACATGACGGTTCAAATGATTATGCTATTAAGTTTGATACAAAGATCGTGAAAAATACATGAGGGGGGGCGGATAACGGTGACTCGAAAATAGCCATGGTCCAATAAACAGAAAATCGGTTCTGTTTCATTGTTTTAAATCATTTCACAATAGAAAACCATCGATTCTCATCGATATTACGCTTTGAGACAAACCACTCGCAGCGGAGTATGACTTTTCAGTGCACGTAGACCTGCACAAGCAACCTTCAACCAGAATGAAATTTTATTTCCAAGAATAAGACTGCAAATATAAGACAAACCATTTGGAACGGGAATCTCACTTTTAAGAGGGCATTTGGCGAAATATGTGCATTTTAAAAATAAGTTATTGTATAGTTTTTTTAACAAAAGTGAATGTCATCGAACGGAAGCGGTGAGAACGGAAGAATGAATTAATGCACCGAAAATTTAAAATCCTCCGGATATTATCAATTGGACGTTCACGGACACTTGAGATATATGATTGTCATCGCGAACACAACACCCTGAAAAGTTAAAAGACAGTGATTTGTTAGAAATAAGTAAACCCTAACCAGGACGGACTCAAATGATATAACAATTCATACGTCCCTCGTCAAGCAAGTATATTGCAGAATAAGCAGAAGTTGAATCGATCTAACTATTGAAAGTATATCACTTACGGTGACTGCAAGAACGACTAACGATCCCAACGCGATTTTGTTAAATACGTAACTTTCCATCTGAGCTTTGCAACCGTATTTAATAAAACTGTTTTCTGCTGTGAACGTCCTTGGGCAGTAACCAGGTGCATCTTTCAGTTCCTGCTTTAGATCACAGCATGGCACTGGATACTGTAAATCTGCAAAGCACAAAATCGATGTTAAATTAAATGATATCAATAACGATGGAATAACAACTAATTTCAAATGTAATCACCATCCAACGAACCGAGAGTGTATGTGGACGTACCTTTTATGGTGACGTTTCCAATCGTATCCTGCTTGCTAAACTTAGCTTCTACTGCATTGAAGTCTTCAGCACTGTTGAAACCACAGCAACCAATCTAGAATTCAGAATAACAAAATGCAAGCTTATGTATTGGTATGCTATTCACCTGATAATTCTAATATGTGTTTGCCCATCTGAAAGGTCTTTGACACATGAGTAAGTTAATCAATTTCATTGTTTGTCCTAATTTGAAAATAAATTATGCAGGTGCACAAAATTCGATTATGGCTCATGCTTACCGTGGGCATAATAATTGTCATGACAGCACTCTCGACAGTTCCACTCTCCATCGATACGTAGTTTTGTACTGCTTTCTGCATATACTCGTAGGCATATTTCAGGAGCTGCAATGCAGAAGACACGGATCGGTATTATTACAAAACAATCGATCTGCTTGTAGTTAGCATAACAATTTGGCCATTGTCTTGTGCATATTTATTTGGAAGATTCTCACTGGCCCCCAAGTCTATAACTTAAACCTAGTATCGATGATGTTCAGACTTTCTGCTTTTGACTTGAAATTACTAAAAGAGGTAAAGTGTTGCGCCTGTAACATAAATCGTCTCACTATTATTCAAACACTTCAAACTTCCATTAGCTAATATAGCATAACTTGGAATTGAGTGCTACTGCTTTGTGCTCTATTTCACGCAGTTAAAAATGTCATACAAGGCATCAGTATTTTACTAAATTATCGGATTACAACTGAGGCAGTTATTCATGATGTATTGAAAAGACTTCTATCTATAGTTAGTCCGCTGTTTATATACCAATTTTTCTACCCTGCTTAAACAACAAACAACCTTGGAGTAAACTTACGATATTTTTGTTTGCAAAATATATGATGATCACAATGAGATGCGCAAGGAACAGCACACCGACGATAATGGCATACTGAAAGAAAAGCAGAAGAAAACGCGTAGGGTTCTAACAGTGAACTCAGTAAGAGGAAATTATTTCAAACTTCGTAAAATTTAAAATATAAAAGCAATGCAAACTAAATACATTGTTCTATCTTGTTTATCGAACTGTTTCGTACAGTAACGTCAGAACACTTCGTATATGACATCGCGAATGACATGGAGTGGATAAAAGGGGAATGGAAGGCGACTCACGATAATCAGGAACAACTTGATGTGGCAGCAAAGACCGATGAATGCCAAGCCGGCTACACAAGCAATAACTATTCCTCCGATAAACACTACCAATCCAAATGGACCTGAACAGAGGGGAAATGAATACGAACAATGCATGTACATCTATCGGGTTTTTTATCGATTTAAACCATGAATTCTGGCCAAAAACGAACTGTTCCCTGCAATAAAAATGCAGTACTTCAAGTGTGAAAGAATCAAAGAAAGTGTGCCGAAATTCCCTAACTCACGAAATGTGAATCACTAATTTAGAGCTGCTCTTTACATACTTATATATCAAGCAATCACGACTGTACGATTATTCTTTAAAGAGGGAGACTATGATAGATTCAGGGCTCATCATGGACTGTATAAACTATACAAACATCTAAAGATAGTTTTTACAATCAAAAAAAAACCTGCCTTGAGAAAGGTTACCCACGGTAACCGAAACGTCGGCGAATATAATTCTCTACCGACATCGCTGTGTTATTAACTCCATAACTTTCACAATCTGAAGATAGTGTCTATTTTTCACATCGTTTAAATAAATTTTTTGTAATTCGAATACATACTTACCCGCAAACTCTTGAATTCTGTCAATTGCTATCTCGGCAGTCTTCATCGCCTCGTCTCCCAATTTTTCTCTCATAAATTTCAGTGATACATCACAAATTTGTTTAAGCAGCGGTTTGTTCCACCTCATCAAAGCACCGAGAATTAGCAGAGCTAAACCACCGATCTGGGTAAACAGAAAGCAGTTGAACAATTTTACGCTGGTAGTCTTATGCACTATAAAAGTACACAAGTGTTTTATTCTCTCTTTTACGTATGTCATTAGCTGCTGACTGCTCACGTTGGCATTAAAATCCTATCAACTATCGGCGCTTTTCACTCAACGAACCTCAGTTCTTTAATCGTTTCACCTATGGAACTGGTCTGATAGTCACATCAATTTCGATAAATACTGAGTGGTAACATGTAGGATCCATCACCGAATGACTCGGTTGGCTATTTTATGAGAATTTAGGTACTTTATAAACTCTCAATGATCCTCAAGAAAGAGGAAGCATCGGTATAATGCGGTGCGTTTATATCAAACAGTAAATCAGGTTAATAGATTATAGTACTCAGCAGGAAATGAAAACATCTGATCTAATCTAGCCAAATCAACTCATTTATTTCTATCATCTTTAGTGTAATGTACACTGATAGATAACAGAATGCATGATAATTGCAAAACTACGCGGAACTCACCAGCATTGCAACGTTGAATACACCGAGGATGATACAGGTTATACTCTTGCACATTGTTCTCCTGTGCGCAAAATGTAATCGTAAATGTGAAGGTAATTTAAGGAATGTACATATTTGCTTTCAAAATGGACATTTGTTGCAATAATGATAATACAACTAAATCCTCGCACGGTGCTACAAATGATAGCTTACGATCCTTTTCAACCTCATTCTGAGTAAGTCTCAGCTTTGTGAGTACAGTCAATAGGAGCAAATGGTACTGTATTGCTAAAACAATGCCTGGTATGGCCAAAACCTCAATAAAGCATGCACATTTCTTCAGTTCACGATAACAATGTGGAATTTTGAAATATTCTGAAAAACGTTTTAAAGTGTGCAACAATCATTGATCCAACCAGGAGAAAGGACTTTCCATATCTTAAACAAAGCAAATTTATGAGCACGTGGACGTAATCCATTCAAAATCGCGAGAAGTTCTGAGATCCAACTTACTCTGTTGCACAGTATCAAAATGCTTTTTGCAGACTGTTGTCAACAATACGACTTTCTTTTACTTACGACCGCTCCGTCTATGTTCAATCCTGGATTTAATCAACTGATTGTGTTATGCGATCGGAGTTTGTCTGTGCCATTCAAAGATTCTGATTGGCTGATCGATTTAATGCTTCACCTTTTCCAACAACTACATGCGTTCATAGGTCAGATTAAAAGCATGAGGCGTGCTAAAATGTGTATCCGCCTGCACACTATGGATGCATTGGTGAAAAATCTATGTTCTGTGCGCCCCCAAAAGAAGGTTTGTTGCAATTATTTGCTCAGTTCCGCAAAGGTTTTTTATTATATCTCTACACCACATCTCTCGAATGAATGCGCATAAGCTAGGCACATTGAAGACCGCGTGAAAGTGGAACGCTACACAGGAAATAATAACTCTTGATAAACATTTATTCCGGATAAAATGCTACCAAAGACCTGGTGGGAGGGTTTGAACAAAGCTCCTCATTAAGCCTCATTTAGTTCCACTTCTTAAAATGTTCTCATATGCGACTAGATTAAAGGATATCACATACACACGTTTCAAGTGTCATAGAACATTTCGCTCCATCCGTAAACCTGCACACCAAAGTTAAGACCACAGTAATATCATCACAATACACAGGGCCATAGTTTGAGGCTTGACTGTGCGCAACTGAACTCACGAAATGCGTTCATCAACCGGGTGGTTGCATACCGAGTACATTTCTTTAAAGATTTGCCGGCTCCTCGCAAAAGGACTTAATTTGATTTCGAAAACGTTGCTGAATTATGAATGAGCACATCATGACATTAGGAAATAGAAAAACATACTCGTTTGAACCGTAAGGTCTGCTTGGTATTTTATTATTAAATTTTTGCGAATGCACCCTTCTAGTCGAAGAGGAAAAAATGATAAGAATTTTGAGGAAGTGTAAAGCAAACCATTAGCGTTTTCGTTCAAGTCTGTGCCATCAAAAGTTCTTCTATTCAAAAACAAACCACAGTCAAAATATCCTTTTCTATTCCATCGTCAGAATCTATTACCCTATACACCGCGAACTCACATTTGAAATTGAATCAAATCTTTCATTACTCAGTAGAATGTATTTGGTCACAATCGAGTTTCTTCCTTTGGGAATTTCGACTTATTTAATGATGCCCAGACCCCACAAACACTTGAAGTTCACGTGGATGGTTTCACACAGTGGCAGCTGCAAAACAAATTGATTCACCCTCCGAAACAATCTTTACTGAGTATTCCCTCATATCTTTGGAAATATGTACAGAACATCTAGGAGCAAGGAGTGGAAGTTTGTGTAACGGAGACCAGCTGATTACTCAGTGTCAAGCTGTACGTCCTTTATCCTCCCCTGAAGTTTGTTTGTTAAACAATAATATTTTTAGTCAACCAGTTTAGCAAACCCCGAGGACACGTCGCACACATATAAAAACTGGAAAGGTGGAACAGAGGTGATCTAAAAGTTACTGCTTTACCGAAATTTGTCATGGTTTAACTAACATTCGCATAATTGGACTATGGACGTTTAGTGATTTCTTCAGTTGTTACTCGAAAAAAATTTCAGTGCGATCACATTCTTAGGCAATGGTTGATCATAACACTGAATGGAATCAGGCAATAAAATGCATCTGATGTATCGCCTACTTTTACCTCAGAAGACGAACCTTATGGGAGGACTTACTTCATATATACTCAACAGTCAAGTAAGGGTTGAACAAGATAGACAAACAGAGTGAATTAGAAATTCTAGGTGCGAGTAGTGGATGATTTGGACCAATGATAAAGTGGATTTTGTCGTGTATGAATCGAATGAAGCGTGAATTAAAAAGCCAGGAAACACTGTGCAGCAGGTTTAGATCTCAGCAACAGTGCGAATCCCTAGACCCAACTAAGCATGGAAACCGGGAACTCACAGTTAAGAGATAAGCATACTTCTCAGAAGGCTGACAGACGGCTAATCCGACCGTTTTGCACATAGATTTGACAAGAGGTAGAGGTGCAAGAGATAGTGCATACACCGCGATAGTTAGATTCCAT